CCCCCCCCCTTTCACTGAGTAAGCCCCGCGTGTAACTCTTTTCTCTCCCCCTCTCCAGGTCACCCTAAGCCCGTCGGAAGGTCTGGAAAGCCCTTGCAACCACAGACTGCGCCCCCCTGCCTCCCACAGCGCTGTCCCAGGTGGGAAGCCCCCTGCCTCCTGATGCCCACTGGAAACCAGTGCGGGCGCATGTGTGGGGGGCATCTTCATTTGCCATCGGCTTTTTATTCTCATTAGTTTTTTCCGTCACTGTCCCCCGTCTTTATTGCCCGTCATTTGTCGGCAGCTACATTCCCCTCCTCCCTGGACATCTCTGCTCAGCACCCATCAGGATCCACCGCCTCTGCGCTCCTCCTCCTTCTCTTCCTCTTCCAACAGTTGGTGACGTTCATTTTGATTTTTTCCTCTCTCTCTCCTGTGAGCGTTTTTTCCCCCTGTGCGTTTTACAGCTAAGATCTTCTGTGTTTTGAGAGGGGGGGGGTCTTCTTTTTGTTGATTTAGAGACATAAAAGGTTTAAAAAAAGAAAACATAAAGGGGGTGGGGGTGGGCTAGGGAGATACGTGAACTAATCCGTTTGATTTAGTGTTTCTCAGGCACCCTTCTCTGAACTGGTGGGCTGTAGGGAGAAGGAAGGAGAGCCTGTTGGCACTGGAAGTCTTCCACATGCCATTGTGGAGCCTCTGCTGCTCAGCGGCACTCACTCTGTTGCCCCCTGTTTCAGGATCAGATCGGCGCTGCGGGCATCTTATTTGAGGAGAAAAGCTGTGGTCTCTTTCAGTAGAATGTGACAGTGGGGTTGAGTTTTGAGGGTGGTGAACTCGAAGATTAGACCAGCACCCCCCCGCCCCAGTTTAAAAAACAGGCAGAATTTTAATACGTGGTGCTCCTTTTTTCCTTTTTAGCCCTCCCTCTAAGCAGACTCTTTTTCATATTCGATCAGCTGAGCCAGGTCAAGGAGGGGTGGGGGGAGTGGACTGGAAAGGGGGCAGCCCAGGCATTTTATAGGGAGAGTGAGTTGAGAATTGCAGGAAAGAAGCTGAGAAACCCTAAATCAGGGAGGGATGGGAACAGAAGTTTCTTCATATTTCTTAAAAGCATTTAATTTTTTTTGATATGTACAGCAAGGAGATTTTTTCTGTCAAATAAAAACTTATGAAACGCAGATGTTTGCTGCCTGAGTCCCTGAGATATGTTTCTCTGCGCCTCTTCAAGGGTGTGGCCTGGTCAAGGGCGACATCTATAGGTGTGTGGAGGGTTTCCTTTGTTGTGTCTCCTTCCATCCAGCCCTCTGAGTTGATTCATTTTTCAGATGCTGAAGATCAGTTGCTTAATAAATATCTTACAGAATATCTTCTGTTTCTCCCAGCGTATGAAAACTGAACCGACTGCTTAAGTGAAAAAAAAAGACACTGTCTAGGTTAATGTTGGAGCCTTCCTCCAGTGGAAGAGGCATGCTCCACTGGTGGAAGGTTTCTCGCACTAAAGGAAGGCTAAAAAATGTTGGATTTTGACTCAGGCCTATAACCTTTATGTATACTTAAGGTAGCTGTCAGAACAGAAAGATGAATGAAAGCATCTCAGTGTCCTCTTAAGGACCGGCTCAATCTAGCAAAATAATGAAGCCAGCCAATAAAATGACAAAACCCATGTGTTCATCTGAAAGGGGATATTTTATAATAACTCTTCCTGAAGCTTTCAAGGAGAGTCTTTTCTGGCCTTACTGGGTAAAATACTTCAAAGCAATTGACCCACCACAGAAAAGGTCTGTTTACTCTCTACCAGTTTTAGAGCTCTTCTCTGCTAAGTGGAGCTCTTAAGTGGAGCCTCCCAGTAGACCTTCGTTGGAGGGCAAGGCTGATGCAGAGAGTGAGGAAGTCCATGCTTTGGAAAAGGGAAAGTAAAACCATCTTAAACTTCCTTCAGGCAACTAAAGCATCAGATTGAGGACAGATTGCATCTGGAACGATCTCTCTTACTGTGGGAAGAAAACAAGTCTCTTGAAAAATACTGTTCTATAGAATCATCAGAAGAAACAAATGTGCTCTGCTGGTCAGGCACAGAAGAACTTTTACTTCACCCTAGTCCCTGTGGTGGCCCCATCTAGTATCGCTTCCAATGATGTTGATTCTGATGGAACAGCAATCAGAAATGTGTTGCCTAGATGCTTGCCAGAAATGTTTTGTTCATTTCTTTATGCAGTTGCTTCTCTTAAATCTATTCTTCCTTGCCTTCAGTGGCAACCCTTCTCCAATATCTGAACTAAAGGTGAGAATGCTGGGAGTGGGGAGTGGAGACTGGAGACATAGCTGCTTCCCAGCTGTCATGGCTAATAATAGTCGCAAGAGCCTGCTGTAGCCCACATCATTCATTTTGTTTTAGTTTTGCTTTTAAGAGGGAAACCATATTTCTTGCCACTGCAGCTGCCCAGATTATGCACCCTTTATTCCACTTGCTTTACTAAGAAGCCTTTAGATTTTCATAACCGTTCTCTGTCATACGTGCTTTCTCTATGTGGAAGTACTTTTTCCTAAAGAGTCATTCAGTTGTCGTCGTCCCCACCCCGGTCCCCCTCCCCCCCCGGTTCCATTTTCTGAATTTCTCTGTCCTCGGAAGATTGTTCGGTTGATGGAGTTTATACTCCGTCTTTCTGCTTTTATGGGATTCCTGGTGGCACACCACCAGAGTTCCCAATAGGTCTCCATCCAAGCGCTTACCTGTGTTGTGTCAGCAAGGTGGTTGTTTGATCTTCTCCAGCCAAATCCAGCATTGGTGCCTAAAACTGCTTCCTTGTACTTTGAACCTGCTGTTTGTTCTCTGCTGTGATGGTTTTGCTTCTGGGGTGCCCTTTGCAGCACTAAAAGCCTATCAGAATACCACCAACGCACAGCGCACCCCCACCCCCGCTAGGTATTTTACCATTTTTTTCAGACTGAGCTTTAGTGTCTTGGCTTTTTTACTGGCCTTAAGGCTCTCAACCAAATCTTCCACAGAGGACTGGTGTATGGGCTGCGTGGTTTTTCATTATCTTTAAAGTCTTTATGTCACACCACAAAACTGTCCTTGTAAAATTGTGTGCTTTCAAAAACTGGCAGTGCTTGTTTGGAGATGCGTGTGTTCAAAGACACCTCAGGCTCGTGGAACTAAGTGTGTCATCCTTTACATCCCAACTAATGACTTGTGACTTGGTATTTCCTGCCTCCTGCCAACCAGCCTCCACTCTGGGCCCTTCATTTTATCTGCCGTTTTCCCTTCTCTCCCACCCACCTGTGCTAAGGAGTTTAAAACTAGCTGTGTTTTTTCAGTGTGAAACAGAAAGCTGCGTGACTCACCAACTTGGAATTACAGGGCTGGGGAAGGCTTTGAAGTTCCGGGTCAGAGCAGCAGGGCTGAGAGTAAACCTGCACCAGTTTCCCCTTCAGTTCTCAACGGACAGATTTGCAGTCAGTATAACTTGCGTGTGTAGCATATAGAATATGGTGAAGAGGGTGGAAGCAGAGGAATAAGTGAGGCTACGCTGAGGGCAAAACTCCCTCCCCCTTTTACTAAATCCCTCCCCCTCGCCAATAATCCGCCCAACTTTCACTTCGTTTTTCCACGATCATCAAGGCTAGAAATGTTCTTTTCTGAAAGTAAAAACTTTAGTGTATGAGATCCAGTGGTAGAGGCCCATGAGGAGAATAGTGCAGTGGATTATCACAGCCAGACAGTATATGGTGTGCATGTGTGTGCTCTGATGAACTGATGCAATGGCTTTGCTTTAATCCCCTGGGGCCCAAGAAGTCTCTGCTTTAAGTATCTTGAATGGTCGGCAGGCACCTGGGCTGCAGCTGAGGTGGTTTGGGTCTAGGCATTAGGTGGTTTATGGGAACCCCTCATGTAAGCTGCCCAATATCCACGATGGAAGAAAGGCAGGGTAAAAAAAATGAAATATTAGACGTTGGGTGCCTCTGGGCCCTACACTGGGGCAAACCACTGTCACAGGGTGGCAGTGTTGTACTGCTGATTCCTAATGAAATGTTAAAAAAGCGTCCCTGTGAAATCTTGCCCCCCCCCCTAGTGAGTAAATACAGAAATGCAAATGTGTTACGATTTCATTGATGATTTTAATAATGCAAATTTAAATACATCCAGTAGTAACGAAGACACCCCCCCTTTAAACTACATTTCCTACAGCCAGTCACACAAGTAAAGAGAGCAACCCTTTCCCGCAGATACCAAAATGGCAAATTCATTCGGAGTGTGTCTGTCAGACAAGGGAAGGCAAGTGTTACAGAGCTTGGGCCCAAGGCTTGCCCCTTGCCTTCCCAAAAGCATCTCTGTCTGTCGGGGTGGGGGGGAGGTAGTAGCAGAGTTGTGTGGAAAAGACAGCATTGCCAGAATAACTTCTGCAGTGGTTCTAATACACTTAACTGCTTTCCTTCGGGTTGCCCACCCCGCACCGTCACATCTGACTTAATCCAGTCTGACTTGCACTACAGGCATTTAAAACTCTGCTCTCATGAAGTGGACATTTGATGGACAGACAGCATGTCCTGGACTGATGCGACAGTTGTGTGCGTTTGGAACATTAAAGTGTACATATTTTTAATGGACAGTTCTGCATCTCCTACCTTGTTCACCCAGACCCAGGGTGTGGATGCCGTTACCCCATGTTTCTCTGCTGGGTTCCTGTTCTCATCGTCGCCTCCGTTGCTCACAGTACACTCATCCATAAAGTAGGAAACACTACACTTGGACACGAGCGTTTAGTAGTGCTTTCTACTTTATGGATGAGTCCACTGTCCTTAAGTACAGCTGCCGGCCGTGACTGATGTACATCTTCGTTGCGAACTGTTTCTGAGCCGGTCTCTAGTCCCCCTTCTTCCCCATCTGCCGGCTGCTCCCTGGTTGTGAAGTAACAGGGAGACGCTAGCAGGAGGATTGGGTTGACCTTATGAAACCGACCCTGTCTTGAGGGTTTAAGGCAAAACACCAATTTCACATTAGGAAGGCAAAATGTAAAACTTTTCTGTCCCTGAAGGGCTCACAGTCTTAATTTTGGCTTACGTTGCTTGAGAGTGAGCCGTGAACAAACCTGTAAATAAACGTCTGTTGAGCATATTACAAAAAGCCCTGAAATTTCTTCTGTGCCCACTACTAATCTCTTCCCCTACTCTTGTGGTCAGGCACTGAACACTTCATGCTGAAAGTTGAAAAGAGTTCATTCACTTCCCCAGTTTCTGCTAAAAAGAGAGAGATGGGAGGGCGGAAGGGCATCTATCAGAGCTGGCCATTACATGTGGCTATTTTGGGGAAAGTGCGCAAGCCCCAAGTCCTGTGGCATCAGGCATACGGGTTAGGGAATGGTGGTGACACTCATAGCCCGGCTGTTTCCTCCCAGAGGGAATGTTTGAAGCCCCGTTTTGTTTTTTTTCAATGAACAGAGAAGTTCTGGGATATCCTCTCCCGTCTGAGACGATGACATTTTGCTCCTCAGCTGTCCAAAGGCCTCCTTCTCCCATAGGCGACTCTCTTTCCTCGCTGCCTCTAACATCAGGATCCCTGTACTAGGACATCGGTATGATGCCTCTTCAAAGCCTAGCTTTTTAATGAAACCTTGAATGCACCCCCCCCCCCGTTGAATTTTTGAATATAAACTCATTAGGCCTGTTTTTATGTTTCTTTGGTATTCTGTAAAGCGCTGTGTACATAAAACCAGCAGCAAGTAAGCATGGGGAGGTGTGGAACACAACACCGAACCTCTTGATCCCAGCTGCCTCACAGAGTGGTCAGTAAAAACCCGGGGATTCTAGTTTATGCAATAGTTAATACTTTCCAGGCCTTGCTTCCTTCACTAATATCCTGCCTTTCTCCCCAGAGGTGACGCAAAACAGCTTGCATCACTCTGCTCTCCACAGTTTTATCCCCACAGCCCTCTGTTGTGGTGCCAAGAATCTGGAGCTCCATTCCCACAAAAACTCACCTGGTGCCATATTTGCAAGCTTGTAGGGGCCAGGTATGTATGTATGGCTGTGAGAGTTGGACTATAAGGAAGGCCGAGCGCCGAAGAATAGATTCTTTTGAACTATGGTGCTGGAGAAGACTCTTGCGAGTACCTTGGACTGCAAGAAGATCAAATCAGTCAATCCTAAAAGAAATCAACCCTGACTGTTCCCT